GCTGGAGTATAGACATTTATTTTAAGTATATTTGTGAGCCTGGCTCTTCATTATTACATTGCATATAATTTCAGATCTTTGTATAAATTTTCTTCAGGTTAACTTAGAAAGTTAACCTGAAGCTGTTATTGTTACAGGTTATTGTTACAGGTTATTGTTACAGGTTAGTTTCTAAACTACAGAAAAGTAACTGTTAGGGAAGCTCAAAAATGAAAAATTGGACTAATGTTGGTATCTGATAGTAATACTGTTAGATTTGCCACCATTTTTATTTTATCATTTTTTTATATGATTACTTGATTAATCATATGAATAATCTATAGATTACTCGATTAGTAAAATATTTGTTTACAGCAGCCCTAGTTGAATTCATGAATTCCATCTATTTAGACTGAAATGCAGCGCTAGTCCATCAGGCTGTCCTTATGGGACCCAACAACAGATTTCCTACTGGTTTCCTACTGTCACTTCCTTTGACCTTAGCTTTGGTTGCAGCCGCATTTTGTGTGTATATGAGCAGCTAAAGGAGGAAAACAGAATTATTTATTCCCAATAAACCCATTACTGCTGGGAAAGCGACGGTATCTGCTGCTGGGTTTAAAGCGTTTCAAATTAAAATCTGGCTCTAAAAGTAAAATCAGAAGCTTTCATGGACCAATCACAAACCCTGTCAGATCAGTGGCCTCTACTTCGCCGCAGATTCAATAATAAACTCTGAACCCGTTCTCCAGCTGATCACAGCGTCGCAGCGCCTCTGACTGAAGCTGCTTTATTTCTTAGTCTGACTGAGTTAGACGTGAAGTTTGAGTGTCCATCCAGATCCTACAGACGATTGAATGAGACGACACAACGGGACAGGACAGCAGGCAGGGGACATGGTGGACATGGTGGACAGGTGATGGGCTGCAGAGACTCCTCTACCTTTTCTGATGCAGATCAGCTCATGAACTCCACAGTGACGATCTCCACCTGGAGAGACAAGGAGGGAGGATGAGACGCAGAATCAGGACCAGAACCAGAACCTGGACCGGACCAGTAAACGGAGAAGCAGCAGCTGTGTGTTTATTAGGAAGCTCAGCATCCTCTTCCTCCTCAGGTTCTCCTGCTCTCTGCAGCCTCAGACTAGCAATTGCTTTTACTTTGACTAGACCACATATACTCCCTCAGACACTGAAGCTGCTGCATCTAAAGGAAACTAGCAGAGCGACTCAGCAGGCCGACCCGACAGCCAGGCTGGATCCGTCCCACGTTTTACAGCAACTCATCAGAGACTCAGCGTGAAAACTAACAGGCAATAAAAGGTTAAATGTGACTGAGCAGGAAGTAGATCAGGTGGTCATGCGATCAATCGGCAGATTATTGTCCACAGACTGAAGTCAAAGCGTTTGACCTGTTATCTCTCTGAACAGTGATGTCACTTCCTGCTTCACAGCCTCGTTCTTTCAAAGCCTGGTGACCTTCACACACAAGCTGGGACCTCTGGCTTCAAGCTGATGTCCTCCAGTCTGTCTCTCAGTCTGTCCCCCAAATGCATGCCACACTTTTCAGATTTACCAGTAACATAACTTTGTTCTGGTTTGTCACATAAATATGAATGAAAGCAGCATCTGAAGACCCTAAAATCATAAATTATCCCAAATGATAAGGAGCTTCTCTGTGAAGACTGGCTATGACGTCACTTCCCCTAAAGATCAGAAATCCTTTCTGATTCCCAGTTTAGGTCCAGTTTCCTCTACACTGAATACATGAAACCAGATTTAATGTTGGATTATTTCAGATTCATCATAAAGCTTCTCTGGAGGTTCTATTGGACCGGATCGGAACCGAGTTTCTCCTACACATGAAACTCTGAATATGGCCCACATTCCGCCAGAACCGGGCTGATCAGAACCAGAACCGGGCAGGTCGTAGCCTGTCAGTCAGCGCGGAGGGAAAAGCGGCTTGGTAAACGGCCATCTCCAAGTCTCGGAGCTTCTTGCTCCGCTTCCTGCAGCCAGCCCTGACGCTTCTCCTCTCTCTGACTCCGGCAACACCACCCCGAGGTTCGGGGCTCCGAACCGAGCCGCAGAACCGCCGCTTTAGCGGGAAATAAGCAAGAAAGCCGCGTTCAAACATGAAGGAGCTTTCCGATCAGAACCACCGGTACAAACATGGAGAATCACTGCTTTTCTCCAACAGGACAGCTGACCGAACCGGACCCGAACTGGACACAGGTACTGCCTTCCTGATCGGAAACACAACCCGTCCGGACCAGAACCACAACCGGTAACCCAGACGGAGTTAAGTACCGCGGAGAGCAGAGCCGTTATTGGCCTACTTACCATCAATCGCCATGATGTTCTGGCTGGCTCCAACCACTGGGGGCGCTAAAGAGAACTGATTTTAGAATAATGTCATGTTTCGAAGCTAAAGGCTACTTAGCTGCAGCTCTATGCGACACGTTTCTATGAGATGCCATTAGCAACATTATTAGCCTTTTATACCAGAGAAATATGTTCACCGTTACTCTTCCATTTGTCACAGTTTCAACCTACATATTTAGTTAGCAAGCTAAATATTGAATGTACTTACTGAATAGCTATATGTAGCTCAAAGCTAACTTTTTAGCTTCAAGCTACATTTCTAGGTATTATGTTAGTGTAGAAAATAAACCTCTGAGCCAAAAGCGTTGAACTGTTTTTTTGTCTTTTAATAAATTGATTAACAAACACGGGAAGGATGGAGCCGATTTCCGGTAGCCTGACCCGTTCCCTGCTCCTCCTCCAGGCTGGTCCCGCGGGACAACATTACATGGAGTCAACATTCTGGTTCTGATGTTCCAGAACCAGAACATTTCAGCCACAGCTTCTCCTGCTGACTTCCTATTTATAGCCGCTGACGGCCTCATCAGAGCGTCTCCTTCCTGTTGTCATAGAAACCGGCCGCAGTAGCTCCTCCGTCTGCCAGCAGTTCGTTTCTTATCAGGTTCTACAGTACCACCATGTGGTGAGAAGGCCAACTGCAGGCTGAGACTCTTCAATCATTCATTTCATCACTCATGAAATGCACATAAAATCAGCAATAATTAAACATTATGACCAGCAATGAATCTGGTGGCACATTTCCCAGAATGCAATGCTTTAGCTCTGCAGCTTCTGCTGGAGGCTGATCAGCTGCTCCATGTTGATGCTGCTGCCGCCACACACGATCACCAGCAGGGGGCGCAAGGGAGTCGGGAGACGGCCTGGAAAACAAACCAGATTTAGGTCACAGGTGAGGTTCTGAAGAAATGATGAAGGTTCTGCTCCGGTTCGGTCCTCAGCTTCTTTACACCCAAACGTTTCTGAGTCAAACAGGAATAATAAAAGACCTTCTATAAATTAGTAATATTAAGCAATATGTGCAAATATATTACCAATATGTTTGCACATATATTAGTTGTACATATTAGTCGTAATATTTCTTTGATAAATGAGTAATAATTCAATCATAACACAATAACAAAAATGAAACGAAGTAAAAATAAAAAAACATGAAAAATTAAAAAGTAAATTAAAACAATTTTTTGAAAAATAAACATCTAATAAAAACATAAAAGCTCAAATAAAACACATGAACAATTTAAAAATATAATACATAAGAGATAAAATAAAAAAATAAACAAAACATTCATTACAATACATTGGAAAAGAAAAAGAACATTTTGGAAGAATAAAATACACAAAATGAAGAAAAATACATAAATATATACATGAACAAAGATTTAAAATATTTCAGAAACTATAGAATAAAGAAATAAAATATTTTAAAAAAGAACAAAAACAGAAGCTAAAAAGGCCATAAAAACAAAACAATAACAATAGTAATAGTAACTAGGAAATTTCTGAAGAAATTTAAGCGGGGCCTGCCAAAGTCTGCCCATCGTTCTGATGCTAAAAATTAGCATCAATGCTATGCTTAGCTACCAATTACAAAATGGCATGTGAAGAATCACAACATTGTTGACCAACATGGACTTGCACCATTCAGTATGTTAAAATTAGTGCATAAGCTAAAGTTAGCCAAAATGCCAATGTTAGCATGAATGCTATCAGTAGCATGTGGGACATCGCTATCATGTCTTCTGTCATTGACTTGCTCCATTCAACAATAGGTCCCCTCCATGTGATGCTATGGCATTACCCAGATAGCACATGATGTTAAATCAACGTTGAAAAATAGTTAGAATCGTTGATTTT